AGAACAAGAAGCAATGGGTGGAAACTAATCAAGGAGAGAAGCAACTTAGAACTGAGAAGAAATTTCCTGACAGTTAGAATGGTTAATCAGTGGAACAGCTTGCCTCCAGAAGTTGTGAATGCCCCAACACTGGAAGTCTTTAAGAAGTTGAATAGCCATTTGTCTGAAACGGTATAGGGCTTCCTGCCTAGACAGGGGGTTGAACTAGAAGACCTCCAAGGTCCCTTCCAACTCTGCTATTGTATTGTAAATGGCTAATTTTTAAAGCAGTCTTCCCCTGCCTGAAAAAAACATCCCTGACATGTTGAAGCACATATTTTATATCAAGAATCCACAGATAAGATAGCATCAGATGGATGCAGATTTCTCTAAAGTTTCATAATTTGGTGCTCCAAATAACTTTGCTCTTAATTCACCTGAAGAATAGTAGAGAATTAGAACTGGACTTCCAAATGGATTGTTTTAAAAGAATTGCTCCAAACAGCTTCACTTCTAATTCACCTGAAAAAATGCATTAGTAATAAATAAGGCCTAGACAAGGATTTTTTAAAAAAAATCCTTGAGAAATGGAGTAATGTGCTTTTAGACGACAATCATCAATTACCTATCTTCCCAAGAAACCTGGCAAAAAGACCTTTTGACTGTGGAAATAATGAGGCAGTCTAATTAAGTTACCAACAGTTTAACAATACAAACCCATTTGCCCAATAGTAAAACAGTACACACCCATTTTCAATTGCAAGCTGCTAAACCACTGCATATGAACTGTGGTTCACCTTCAGCTTAGCAGCTCATGGTCTCCTCCAGTACCATAAATGCCACTTTCCTTGCTCCACTCACCTTGCAAGTGAATACTCGATTATCATACTGATGAGTGTATCTACAGCGATTCTTAGCTTCATGGGGCATTCCTTCTTTTGCATGGTTCATGCTGTTCTTACACCCACTTCTAAAATTGCAAAATAAAGCAAAAAAAGATCAGGGGTCAAACAGCTGGCATGACATATCTCAGAACAGTATAATAATTCAAGTTTACAAGCTTGTCCTAAGTAACATTAGAATCAAACTCTTTTTACATACTGTACTTCATCTCAGAAAAAATGAGTTTTCAAAAAAAAAATTGAATGGGGGAAGGAAGAACTGGAAAAAGAGACAAAACTAAGTTTTGTTCCTTCACCTAAAGGTAAAGGTCCCTATGTCGTTTCCATATTAGACTTATGATAGTGTAGTCTAACAACATAATTTGATAATATGACCTTACAATAATATCATTTCTAGCAGATCTTGACAGGAAAAAGTACCCCCATTGGAAGGGGGGAAATGTTATTGCAATAGTTATTCAAAGGTAATCAGCAAAAAGATGGAGACATTTACTTTATCTTTTTGCACTTTTGGCTATACTGACAATGGTTAAAATTGAATATTTGATGTATTTGGGGTCCTTATATTTATATACAGCTTGGTTTCCCCTGGTAATTTTATAACTATCAAAATCTAATGCTCACTTGATTACCTTGAAACAGCCATAAGAGTACACAGAGAAATTATTCAACTATACAACAACAAAATGAAAGAGAAATGAAAAGGACAACAAAAATTTCACATAAAGAAAAGACATATGTATCAATAGCGAACTGCTCTTACAATAATTAACTACAATTTTAGCACTAATCAGCATGATTAAAGGTGTAGATTTTAGCTGGTTTCTAGTTCCATTTCATAAGGTCAAATGTCTTTCTAATACCAGAGAACTATTTATTGAACTTAAACTGGAAATATGACATTGCAACAAATGGAACTTCCATTTCTAGATTAATCTACTGAGTGTTATCCAAAACCAAATACAGTCACTTTAAATTTGTTACGTTTTTATGATACCCCAACTCCTATCTTCTTAAGGAGAAAGCTTAATTATTATCTAAAATAACACCAAGGCCATTTAAAATGAATGTGTCATGTCATATACAACCTCTCAACAAACAAAGCAAATAAAAAATCAAATTTGAAAGTCATCCAACGTTCATAAATGTATGAGCCACACCTCAATGGTTTAGCAGCAGACATGATCTGAAATATATATTGGAAGAAACTCTTCAACAAAATAAACGATGCCCTGCTACTCTTAGAATCACTCCAACATTACAACATACATTTTCTAGGACTAGATAAACTTTATTCAAATCTGAGCCTCATATATACTCACCCGCAGCTGAGACATACAGAGGAGCAGGTAAAATACTCATCTGGAAAGAAGGAGCTATGAGCCATCTGATCATCTGGAATTTCACCACAGAACCGATCACTTAATGCCTGGATAACAAGAAAGAAAAATCATTAATAAGCACAGAATGGTAAATATGTTAAATACACAACAATTTTGTGGAAAGTTATAGGTCAAGGGACCAACAGCCTGTGACCTTCAAAACTCCTCCCCTCCCTCATCAATGCCTCTGAATGCACAACTGAATTTTAGGTGTACAGTTGCTGAAAGAGGAGGGGGAGAAAGCAATTGGGAATTCAGGATTGGATTCAACCCTCCTACAAATCCCTGGTTGTTTAACAATGGCTTATGAATGAACCACAATTGGCTTGATTCAAACAACACATTATGCAAGTATCAAACAAAGTACTTTGTGCCTTAACGTAGAACCTATTAGTTTCTTCATTATTGTTTGTTATCTGTCTTTTAACATCAGAATAATCTATTACTCCTTTTCCATTATGATTTTTTTAGCCCAGAGCATTTTTTTAAATAGTCTAGGAAGCATCCCAATGGTTATGAATGAAGAAGTTAACCATCAACTGAGATATAAGCATAGAAAAGAGTAAAAAAAAACCTTGTTCCCCAAAAGAAATGTATTAATAGCAAAATCAAAAGTTTAGGAAGTATGTGAACTTTGCAGAGGTCAGCCATATACAAGCATAAAGAAGCCACTAATCTCCTAACCCCCTGAGAATTCTTAGCCAGGCTGGAACTTTTTTAAGGAAACCTTATAGGAGAAAATTTTCCTGAGGGATTGTTATTTTTATTTATTTATCTATCTAGTGTCACTTTTTTTTATTCATTTTAATCAGGAAATAAATCCTAAACGAATACATCTTAAAACTAATGGCTGACCACAGCCATTATCCTAAATCATGGTCCATGTTGCAAAGGATTTGGGTAGTAAAATAATACTAATAGTTTAGTATTATTTTTTCATGGAATAAACAAATACGTTTCTTATTGAATCATGCATAGTCATCAAATAGCTATAGGGAAGGTAACAATAATCACTGACTATATCACCTACAATTCATTTCCTTTCTGTAGGAAAGGACAAATGAAAAATCCACTCCATGAGGAAAGGTAAAGACAAAGTTTTAGTGAAGAAATGTTTCAAGGAGTCTGCACTTCAAAAACTTCTCCACATGGTAAAGTACAAAAGGATTTGTACCGCTACATTTCCCTGCTGCTACTCAGCGTCTTACATTGCCCCCCGAAGAGCCTTGGTTCTAGCTTGTTTGTTCTAGGTACCACATCTTTGGTATCTATCAATAAAAATCGAGTTTCTCGCTTAAAGAAATTGAGGAAAGTCAAGGCAAACCAATGAATGAGTTGTTGCCTAGAGACCATGTCCTGTCAGTTACCCTGGTAACAATATGGACCTTTCCATTGCACTACAATAGCTCAGTTCTGACTGCTTATGTATTTATAGTGCTCTGGCACCCAGCCTGAGACACTAAGTGTTTAGATTACAGATATTATGAAAACTAGTTCTGCCAAAGCAGACCCCCCCCCCCAAAAAAAAGAATTGAATCTGCATGGGCTCTTCACTAGCTCCACATCGAAACCAAAGTTTCTTCTAGCTCAGTTTATTTTATATGTATGCATGTATGTATGTGTTTGTTTGTTTGTTTGTTTTAATTTACTTATTTTTATTTTATATTTTATTTTATTTATAAAAATTATTTGCTACCCATCTTACCCTAGGGCAGTGATGGCTAACCTTTTTGTTGCTGTATGCCAAAAACGGGCGCACAACCCATAATGCAATGTGCATGCAACCACCACCACCACGCCCCCTTGCTCATGCACTGAGCTTGGACAATGGCTCGTGTGCCCAGAGAGGGCTCTGCATGCCACCTGTGGCATGCATGCCATAGGTTCACCATCATGGCTCTAGGGTAACTCTGGGTGTCTTAGTTACATCTAAGTTAAAACATAAAAAGTTACAATGAAACATGTATTTATTTAACAGAAGAGGGAAAATAAGAGATCTGAACCAACTGTTGATTTTCCAAAGTTCTGGCACATTTTTCCAACTAGACAGATGAGGAAGATCTGATTCTTTTTCTCATATGGCTTGACTCACTTACTGTACCATTCTGGGCTTGCCAATTCTTGAGGCGCGATTGCTCTAGATTCCTTTTTAAATTCACAGGATGAGAAACTAGGCATATCATTTGCAAAAGAATTATTTCAAATTATACCATGAATTAATATGGGACAAGTGTAAGTTTTGGAATGTAGGCTCCTTCCACAGGATATAAACTGGAAAACATTAGCATTGCTGTCTCAGTTATAAATCTGGACTTATTTCTATAGAGCAAATACTACTTACTTTGAGTGCTTTGTAGATAACTCCAGGAGGACGTGGAGAACGGGTGGTATTATTTTCTAGCTGCAGCTCCACAGAGTGCCTGAGACTAGAAAAATCTGTTGGCGGGTTTTGTGTCCTTATCCCTTTGTAATGGATTGAGCTGAAGGATTCGGGAAAGAGACCAAGTTTGCGGAATCGATCCTGAATTAGTTTCTCAGGCACCTCAGAAGGATTATCTAAACGATTTAACATGAAATTGTTAGTATAGTGGTGAACGACATAATTCTGAATATTTTTGACATATTGGAATATTTGGCATATCCCAAGTGTCATATATTTCTGAAGAGCAGGGTAAAATAACAACGATGGGATAGTTAAAATTATGCAACCAATGTTTTATATTAGACCTTTAAGAATTGTTCTTTTTGTTGCTATATTTGTGGAAACACAAAAAAGAAAATATATGTGCAATGCATTTATGCCATGTCTAGATGGATGTCAGAATCACATTTCTGTTTAAAATCACATCTTCAAATAATCAGAAGCACTACAGATAGATTCATTTACCTAAACAGGGGCCATTATCAAATCATAAAAAAAATAGAATGGGATAAAAATATTAAGCGTCTAAGGGTTAAATCATCTTATTCTCACCTGGAAATAAGCTCCCTTAAGAGCATAAACAGTACTTGGCTACATTGGACCCCTGGCCCATGTAGTCCAGTAGTCTGTTCTCACAGCAGCCAACCCATTGTTCAAGGAAGCTCACTAGCCTCCCAGAAGAATTTGGGAGTCTTTGTGGATTCAGTGTTCCTGCTCAGAGAGCAGGCAGCAGCCATTGCTGGTGGGAAGGGCTCTGCACAGATTCATCTGCTGCGCCAATTGCACCCTTTCCTGGACCAGGAGGCCTTGATCATGGTTGCCCATGCCTTGGTCCCCTCTCATTGGTGAACTCTACCTTGGACCACCCGAAAACTTCAACTGATTCAGAACATAGTTTTGGGATGTCCTAAGTTTGCCCATGTAACATCTTGGTTGTGCGAGATGCACTGACTTCCAGTGTTTTTACGGGTACAATTCAAGGTGCTATTCATCACCTTCAAAGCCCCGTGTGAGACTATCTATGAGACCCGCCTTTCCCTAAAGACATCTACCTGTCCTAACAGGTCAGATAGGTGGGCGGGCTATCTGGTTCCCTCCCCCAAATATTGTCATCTAATTTGAGTTAGGAAGCATGCCTTTTCCATGCCAGTTCCTGATCTATGGAACATTTTGCCCACTGAAGTTCAGCAGACCTCCACTCTTTTACACTTCCATAAAGTCTTAGAGATTTCCTTTTTTTCTCCCAAGCATTGGGAGATTAGATGATGATATGTTTGCATGGAGTTATATCAGTTTTTTTTCTTTGTATTGTTTGTATTGTTTTGTAGTTTATATTTCGAGTGTTTTTTTCAGTTTTTAAAATGATTTTACAGGGAACTGCTCAGAATTGCCTGAAAGATGGGCAGATATATGAATGTTTGGATGGGTAGATGGATGGACGGACGGATGGACAAACAGATAGAGCATATTTACAGTAATCAATTTCTACATCCATAGCAACACAAGAGATCAATTCAATCCAAGGGGGAACCATACTTTGATTCAGCACTTTGCTGAAAAAGAGTGCTTCACTTGAAGATATGCTAAATCAATGCATCCTGCCTAAGTTTCATGCAGTCCTAATGCACAACATTATTTCCACCAAAATTCTACTCACCAGCACCCAATAACTGTGTATACACAGTTTCATGAAAGATAATGACTCCAGGCCCCAAAGTGGACAATGGGACATCCAACCCACAACGGGCTGTGGTTGCTTTCAGTTCTTTGGTGAAGTGTTTCAGATATGCTTCTGATGCATCTCCAAGAAATTTGAAGAGATCATTGTGGAGTCTGTCAGCATGTGTACGGTAGATGATGAGATCTGAAATAGCCAGGACCTTCAGAAGCAGCCGGGTCCTCTGACTTAGATTCTCCATGGCACCAAGAAGACCCTCTGTGTCAATCACTACCATTTTATGAACAGGGTCATAGGCAGCCCAAACACCTACTGTACAAGACTCCTGTGCTGGAGATGTTTTAAAGACTTCGCGGCCATAAAAGAAGGTGTGGTTAAGGGTATGAGACTTCCCATCCCCTGTATTCCCAAAAATAGACACCACCTTTACATGTTGGTCAGGCTTGCAGTTCAGTTTCCTGATAAATTCTTCTTCGTTCTCCACCTTCCAACACAAGGGGAAAAAAATTAAGATTTTATGAGAACATTATAGCTGCTGAACTCTGCTACTATATAAACGTAGCTTGTAATCAAGCTGCCAATCACCACGTTTAATCTGCAATGCTCAGAATTGATCAGATTTGTATCAAAGAGATCCCAGAGTTTCATAACCTCTTCCAAGAATGCAACTATTTATGTATCTTCATACTACCAGTTCCCAAATAGGTGGGGATATCTACCAATTTCAAAAGGCTAACCAGTTGAACTTGGTGTGCCATTCTAATCCTAAAAGAACTCTAAAAACCTTACAGACTCTCTTAGAAAAGGATTGTAAACATTCAAAGCAACATGACAAAGGTTAAATTACAAATACAAAAACCATGGCATTCAAAGACAGTTCAAAACAAAACATACACTAAAATCTATAAAAGAGTGGTTCACGTCTCATAATAATTCTACAATACTTAATCTATCAGTTTAAAAGAGAACTAGGTCCAATGTGCAAACTTAAATCAGTCACCTCATATACTCAACTGGATTAAATTTATATTGTTGTTTTCAGGATAAAATTGGGGAAGAAATGAATGGAAAAATTGATACATCTTGAAAAGAAAATTCTTTTTTGTTCAACAAATAATTTTGGTTTTTTTAATGGGTATTTCTTTTTCTTACGCCTTCAAGTGAGTACTGACTCCTAGAGAGTATCAGGAAGTCTCCCTGCAAGTTTCTGGGCAAAGTTTTTTCAGTTTACCATTGCCTTCCTACTGGAACTGAGAAAGAGTTAATGGCTGGCTTTGTGCCTAAAGCTAGACTAGAAGTCACAGTCTCCCAGTTTCTAGCTTGGTGCCTTAATCACTAGATCAAACTGGCTCTTGGGATCTATCATTTTCTCTTGTGATACTTTCCAATTGAGTCATTCAGCACTTAAATAACAGGCTCCTGGATTACCATACAACTATGGAATTTATTTTTGGGAGAACAAAAAGTGGGTATTTTGTTCAACTCATATTAAAGGATGCCTTTAAATTAAATAGACACAATAAAGGATCGATTTTAGTTCTCGCCTCAAACCCTTAAATTTATATTTTTTATCATATTCATTTCTAAGCAAAATTTGCAATGCGCAGAAAAGGGATACTAGGTCTACATGTGGAATGAAATGAAATAACAAAGTTCTATGGAGATAGAATAAAATGTATAACTTCATTCTGTGCATGACAGGGCTACTTTTAGTGTTCCTTCATATAAAACACTTGTGAAAAGTAAAAATGTTGTGCCAGAATAAATAGATACATCGAATTTTGAGAATACTAGCAGAAAATGGCTGCATGCAGAGGGTTAATTATTCCTCAAATGGTGGCCATGAAAAGTGACTAGTCAGAAAAGTAGAGAATGGACCATTTCAATGTATAGCTGCTTAAGAAGTTGCAGATTGGTACAGTTTGGTTGTACGCTAAAGCACTATTTTCCCTTTAACTTAAAATAGTGTACAGCCCAATCAGAAATGAAGTGAGTAAAAAAAAAAAACAGGCAAACAACAGATTAATCGTGTTTTCTTAATTTTTCTAATTTAATCTTTTTTATGCATTGTTTAAATGTTTTATAAAGGCATTAACAATAATAAACTTCAGCAGCATTAAAGTCGCATATTTGCTAAATGCTTACATAGTATTGTTCTACTTTGTTCATTATCTCAATTCAACAAATTGCTACTATAGGTGAAAGATGAATAATATGATTAAGGATAATTTTTTGCCATGATCTTCACATGTCCAGAAAACAGCAATAATGTCTAATTGTTTTTACATTTTCTGCAACCTTTTCCCCTCTAGACATGTTGAAATTGTAGTCAATTGGCCATGGTGAGCAATTAAATTACAATTAATTGGATGTGGTGCTTCTTACCATCTTTTTAAGAAAGGCTACAAATAAAAGGCAGAAAAGCAAAATTATTGTTCATTGAAGATATTGGTCAAAGGTTTAAACCAAACATTCAATAAATAGCAGCTTATGCCACTGAAAAGTTTCACGATGACTCATTCAATTTGTACTCATTGGGTACAAATGATTACACAGTTCAGTTTTGCCAAAGTTGCTTATGGACTTTGGAATTAAAATGCTGGTTTCCCAGAAGTCAGGCCCAAACATTTTCTCCATAACCTCAAAAGAATAACAGCAATATAAATGGTGATGCCTCTGCCTCCTACAGCATCAGAACAAATCAACCATTTGGTTCCTATGTACAATTTATCCTGATCTTTTTATATGTATGGAAACACTGCAGAAAAGCTCTGTTAAGGCAGATAGGATAGGAACCTATGAAGAAAAAAACATTTTGGTAAGTGTCCAAACATTCATGTAATTGATCAATTGTGCTAAACTATAATTTGATTACTTTAATTTTGGTTTAGCACATTGACAGGGTACTCACATTGTTTTATTATAAATGGTTGGCCCAATCAGTTTACTGAATAAGCCACAATTGTCTGGATATACATGCTGTACTAAGCCATAAATTATAAACAATATCACTTGAATTTTCATCAAGCTATATTAAAACCAAATCAATTATATTATGGCTTAGTCTGAGGCCTGAAGACAGTAGGAAAAGATAGTCATCTTCGAAATAAAAGCAATCCATGCCAGTGGTAGGTTGCCAATTTCTTTACGCGCTCCTACACATGCATGTGCAGCCTCTTGCTGCTGCTACTACGCCCGATCCGGGCTAGACCGGGAGTAACCCACCTCTGATCTATGCAGGCCAGACAGGGACAGCCAAAGGGCCAGATGTGACCCAATGGTCATAAAATGCCCAGGTCTGACTTATCATGTATCTTGTCAAATCCAAAGGAGAGTTTCACTTGAATATGAACTGATGCAAATATGAAGGGAAACATTTGAGTGATAATTGAGTTTATTTTTTTCCAAAACAGCTTCATCCTGAACCAAATAAGACATTCTTATCAATCTATATTCACTTCTAAAGCACACAATAATTCTTACCTGAATCTCCTCTGTTTCATCCACCAGCAGGAAGCTTACCACATGTTCTGTCATCTTTTTCCTCTTGGCCTCCTCATCCATTCCTTCCTCCTCTTGCTGCCCATGATGTTTGCCACTATGGTATACGGTAATGGGATGTTTCCTCTTGTTTCCACCAGCATGAGTTCTCTTCTGACACTCTAAACATAAGTTTATTTTGCATGCTTGGCACCTTACTGTTGCCCTTTGTCTAGAGCTTATGATATTGTTCTGCAGGATGCTGCCACTTGTAACTTTGCAGGTGTCACAGTATGGGACATGGCCAGGTTTGATTCGAGTCCGTTCATGATTTCTAAGTCTTTCTTGTCTATGCAGTTCTTCTTCACAACGCTGGCACTGCAAGCTTCCACATTCATCACATTCAAAGATTGCTTCATCTGTGCCACTGCAAGCATAGCTTTCTTGACACAAAAGTGTGGTATTCAGTCCTTTATCTACAGATGGAGGTTGGGCACTCATCTTCCACAAATTATTACTTTATAAAACTGGGGTTTTTATCAGATACATACATTGATTTGCCAAAGGACTAAAATTAGTTCTTGTCTTAAGAGAGGAAACTATAAAAGCTGGGATATATGTATCAGTTTTGATTCTTCACTTCTATGATGCTTTCATAAAATGTATTTTAAAAATCCCACTTGGCCTAAGAATTGTAAATACAAATTTCCATAATGACTTGGGGGGGGGGGCTGTAAAGTTCACACTTAAAGTCACAATAAACTTGGATACATGTAAGAAAAACAATCTGATATGCCTCCAAAATGTAAGCCAAGTCTTTTCTTCGCAATGTCTAAAACATAAGGGAAAACATTGATTTAATATATGTGTGTGTGTAGATAGATAGATAGATAGATAGATAGATAGATAGATAGATAGATAGATAGATAGATAGATAGATACAGAGAGAGACAGAGACAGACAGAGACAGACAGAGACAGACAGACACATATTCATAAGCGCAATAAAAGTTTTGGATATTAAAAAGCCTGTTACTTTCTTTACATAATGTATTCCTCCTTCAAAGTGAAAACAGTTATGGGTATGTTTAAAATATTTACATAACAAAAGATACATTTGATTAAAATAGTCATATACAAAATCTCCCTTTGAGCTTCAAATATGTTTAAAAACTACTTGGGATCTTCCTATCATGTTGATAAGGATGATCTTACCAAACAAGTATAGCACTGAACACTGTTCAATTGAGAGGCCCATGTTTTTTGTTTTAAATAATTATAAATTACTTTCCATTCAAACTGCATGGCACCTAATCTTAAGTAAAAGTGTTTTGGACCGTACTCTTCCAAGCAATGATAGCATCTTTCATAAACACACACCGTAAACCACATCAAAGTTGGACATATTTTAAGCCCTACAAATAAACAATATGTGGTATAATGATGAATTATTTACTTAAAGTAAAGCCATAAAATAAATAACTTTAAGCTGCTTTTAAACGGGCCAAGAATGGGGGGAGGGGGAAGAGTGGTTACAGAAAACACATTGGTTCGGTGTTTACTTGTGACTCACTCGCTACCATGGGAAGATCTTGATGTGACCCTGTCTGATAATCTAAAGAACAAAATATATAATTCACGGCTCGATTGAGTTACTTGAAAGCACCACATCCAGATAATCGTAAACTAAATATAATTTCTCGCGAGGTGCTAAATCTCCCCGTATAAACAAGAATAGCGAGAGGAAGCGGAGTAAAATAAGACGACAAAAACAAACCGTACAGAAGAACGCTGCAGCCCGATCTATTGTTTATAAAACAATAGGCATCTTCTTCCTCCTCCTTTTCCTCCCTGCAAGTCTCAGTGACTAAGTAATCAAATCGTTGTCTCCTCCCCCGGCTCCTCTTTTTAACTATTAAACCCGGGCGGTGGGCAGGGAGGGATCCCTTCCCACCCCGATAAAAGGATTTAACTCTCTGGATCCCAGCGTGTGAACCTGGTGCCCCGGTAGATATAAGGGCCAGTCCCAAAATCGCTTGTTTTCCCCCTTGTTGTCACTGTTGATCAGCTGATCTCAGGGAACTTCAGGGTTATTTTTTTTTAAGGCAGGAAGATAGGTGGTCAAATGGGAAGGAGAAAGGGCGGACGGGTTGCATTGTGGGAAGTGCAGTATTTTTGCGTGCAGCTTTGCTGCTTTGGAAACGGAGAGAGCGCCTCAGAAGCAGTAAAACAGAATCGCACAGCATAGAGAAAAGTCCCAGGGCTTATAATTATGGGGAAACGGTGGTAGAAACAAGAAAGTGCTGCATGGGCCAAACAGAATATACACTGTGCAGGATATTTGAATAAACACGAGCTTTTAACATTTACAGCATATTACTCTTTACTGAAGATAAAAGTATTCAAACTGTTTTCAGAAAATGCTGAAGCATTAGACATTATACCTAATACACAATGGCATAACAGAGAAAGCCAACAAATACTTCCAAGTCAATTTGTGCTTCATTGAGTATAGAAAGGGACCATATTATACTAAGTCAGCCATGTCAAACAATGCAATCTCCTTAGGAAATAGGGAATCTCAGAATGTCTAATTTTCCTAATGTGAAATCCAATCACAGGAAGTCTGGACAGAACACGGTAACACAAAATTAGGTTCGGAATGGTGAAGGAATGAGGCAAGACTTATTTGTTTAACCTACAGACTGAATCTATACTGAGGGAGGCTAGATTGGAAGATAAACGTGGTTTTAAAATTGGAGAAAAAAATATCAACATCCTGCAGATGACACTCCTCCACTAGCTGAAAATGCTAACAATCTCGGTATCTAGGAATTAATGTCAAAGACCACAGGGAAAAATGGGATTGCAATTAAATATCAAGAATACCATTTGATTGTAACAGGAATAGCTACCAGAATCAACAATGTAGATATTAAAATAAAGATTAGCTTCTATCTTTTAGAATTGACTATCAACAATAAAGGAGCCAGCAGTCATGAAATATATAGCAGTTTAGCACTTACTATGGTAGCAATTAAGTGGACCTCAAGTTAGAACTCCACACTAATTACTCTTAAGGAATATTAGCAATAGCACTTAGACTTATATACCACTTCATAGTGCTTTTACATAGTGGTTTAGAGTCAGCCTATTGCCCCCAACAATCTGGGTCCTCATTTTACTGACCTCAGAAGGATGGAAAACTGAGTCAACCTTGAGCTGGTGAGATTTGAACTGCCAAACTGCAGCTAGCAGTCAACTGAAGTAGCCTGCAGTGCTGCACTCTAACCACTGTGCCACCTCGGCTCTTTGATGCCCCACAACAAATACAGGAGACAAAATCCTTGCACCTTTTTGCACTCTCCAAATTTTATATAGTACAGGTAATCCTCGACTTTCAACCACAATTGAGCCCCAAAATTCTGTTACTGAGACATTTATTAAATGATTTTGCCCCATTTTATGATGCTTCTTGCCAGTTATTAAGTGAATCACTGCAATTGTTATGTTAGTAACACAGTTGTTACATGCATCTGGCTTCTCCATTGACTTTGCTTGTCAGAGGTCTCAAAAAAGCCCATGACCTGCAACCATCATAAATGTCAACCAGTCGCTAAGCATCTGAATTTTGATAAAATGGTCATGGGGATGCTGGAAAGGTTGTAAACTGTGAAAAACTGTCCTAAGTCACTTTTTTCATTGCCATTGTAACTTTGAACTGTCAGTAAATGAACTGTTGTAAGTCAAGAAGCTATGGCAAATTTTATTTTTAAAAAAGAAGCTATGGCAAATTTAGACAGCATACTAAAAAGCAGAGACATCGCCCTGCCAACAAAAGTGCGTATAGTCAAGGCTATGGTTTTCCCAGTTGCAATGTATGGCTGTGAAAGTTGGACCATAAAGAAGGCTGAGCACCAAAGAATTGAGGCCTTTGAACTATGGTGCTAGAGAAGTCTCCTGCAAGCCCCTAGGACTGCAAGGCAATCAAACTGGTCAGTCCTAGAGAAGATCCATCTTGACTGTTCTTTAGAAGGCCAGATCCTAAAGATGAAACTCAAATACTTTGCCCACCTAATGAGAAGGAAGGACTTATTGGAGAACGGCCTAATGCTGGGAACGATTGAGAGCAAAAGAAGGGGACAACAGAGAATGAGGTGGCTGGATGGAGTCACTGAAGCAGTAGGCAGTGAGCTCCAAAGGATGGTAGATGACAGGAAGGTCTGGAGGAACATTGTCCATGGGGTCACGATGGGTCTGACACAACTTCACAACTAACAACAACAAAGTCGAGGACTACCTGTACAATAGCACAGGAACACAGTTATTTTACTGTTCTTCAATCTTTTGCCATCATTTGTCCTAATCGTTTAAGGCAAAAATCCGATTCAAGGGTAGAACATAGAGGGAGAAAAAATAGCAACTGTGAGACAGTGAAAATGACAACTCTTTCCCTCTTGGCATTTAATGCTTCTAAAAATTAGGAGTGTAAGATCTAGTCTGGAAAAACCACCAACACCAGATCGTATTAAGAATTTTCTGTATCTCTTTGCCAGCATTTATTGCTGGTCCGGACTTTTTCCAATTCAGATGAGTTAACATTATAGATTCTTTTAAAGCTGAATCCGAGAGAAATGTTCTAAAGTCAAAAAGAAAGAAAAGCGTCTCCCCAAGACCGCTTCTTCCGATGGGACAATCACAGGAGTGTCTGGAGAGAGGACGGAAGTCGGCGAACAGTAGACCCAAAACAATTCCTAGAGGTGCCCGTTCCTCGAGATACCTCTAGGACTATTCATCTACTTCTCCATGATCAAAACGTAACGCGGCGCTGGGCGGTCTTTGGCGGAAAGCCGAGGCGGGTTGAGGGGGGGACGTTGTTCACGTGACCGTCCAGCGTAACGCGACGGCGCCTGTGGCTCTGAGTGGCGCGTTTGCGGCCTAGTTTCCTTTGCCGGGTCGAGAAGAGTGGAGGCTGTCGGGCCTGTTGTCTTCGGGCGCTGCTTTCGGTGAGAGAGCGGGGCAATGCCCGTGCAGCATTTTATCTTTATGGATTAAAGAGGCGGGACTGAGGGGGGGGGGCATCGGATTTGGGCGACTTGGGGCACCCGTGTCGGGGGCCCTTCAGGAATGGGGGAGGGCTGAAGGTGGCCCTTTTGGAGCTTTTCAGGGAAGGTTATGACGCTTTGTGGGGGGGGTGAAGGGACGAGATAAGGTTTGGATGCTTCCCCTTTTCTTTTAAAGCATCGTGCTCCATGGTGGGTGGGTGGGGAAAAGGGGGTGTAGAAGGCGATAGGGGCGATACCGAAGGCCATCGGTATCGAGGCCTGAAAGCCGGCCCGTTCGGAGTAGATCTCCCCCGAGCCCATCCATCTGGGTTGGCTTGCATGCAGTCACCTTGGCGCTTGACCAGCGCGGCATCGAGGGGTGAATTGGCGTGTGGGAGGGAATCATTGCGAAGCAACCCTCCGCCCGCAGGCAAAAAAAAAGATCGTTTAAAACACGAGGGTTGCTGTGTTGTTGGTTTTTTTTTGAAAACTAATAAACGGATTACGAGGTGTTTTTTTTTAAAAAAAAACTAATAATCTCAGAGACTCCAAAAGGATCCTTAGAGGAGCTTTTGCGGTCCGGCACTGTTTTTTTCAGAAAGCAGCTCATTTAGAAAACGGTATTAAAAGGGCTCGTTTTTATATCACCTTCAGCGTTTCTTGAAATGGAAGGTTTTGTAGAACCGTGCAAGTCTCAGAGTGTAAGGATCAATCACGATCGTTTTAAGTAGCGATTAATCATCCCTGAAAAGCACCACGGGGTTATGCGTTTATTTTTTATGGATCTGCCGTCTTCTGCGGACATTTTTAAATACATTTGTAATCTTATATTTGCTTATCTGAAATTTAAGACAAACTTGACTTTTTTTAAGGGGGATTGCCCTGTAAATGGTATTAAATATGTGCTCTAAGCCCCAAAATATTTACCTGAAATGAAATCTAAACGAATTAAATTTGTAATCCAGAAAAGAGAAGGTAATCTCAGAAAAACAGATGGTAAGGTAATGAGAAGATATGAGGAGATAATCTCAGAAAGACAGGTGGTAAGTTGACTTTAAGTGCATCTTTTGTGTTTAGCTTTGAAATGTGGTTATCCATAGCCTGTTAGAGGCTTTATTGTATTTCAAGTTTTAGGTGCTGGATGTAGTTTCTTTCTCTTGCTTTTCTCTCCTTGCTTCAGTCAAGATGCCATCAATTAAAGAAGAGAAGGTGGCAGTTGTGGCTAGGAGGGCCTTTGCACAGTCTTGTGCACCAGTTCTTAGATCAGGAGGCCCTGTCCACAGTCACTCATGCTTCCCCATTGGACTACTGTAGAGTAACACACTATACATGGGCCTCCCCTTGAAGAGTATCTGGAAGCTTCAAATACAGAATATGTGTTTCCAGAACATCATATGTTGTACCATGTTCTACAAGCTGCATATATTGCCACTTTGCTCTGGGTCCAGTTCAAGTCCTGGTATTATCCTTTAAAGCCCTTCCTGGTGTGTGACCAGGTTATCTGAGAGACTGCCTCCCCCTGTTACATCTGCCTGTCCTTCTGAGTAGTAGAGAACGCAGGTTGTGGGTTCTGTCTGTTAGGGATTTACACTTGATGGGTACCAGGAGGCAGGCATTCTCCCAGTCCCAAAGTGAGGTGAGGCTCCATCCCTGTTGATGTTCAGAGGGTCCCTCAAGACCTGGTTTTGTTACCACGCTTTTTCCCAGGGGACCACTGAAATCTTATAATGGGTTATAATGACTGCAGCTGATAATTATTTTGCCATACAGTGTTTCATTTTTAATAATGTCTGTTTTAAATTTTAAGAATGACTTTTTATGTATTTATTCTAATTTATTGTTGTACAACACCATATTGGTAAACTGTCTATATTTTTAATAGTTATTAGAAATTCAGGAACTCTTCTTTGGCAAATTCTTTATGTGCGCTTGATTTTTATTGAAGTTATAACATTTTTTTATAATGTTCTTTATTAACATTTTTCTTGAGTTATAAAGTAATGTAAAATACAAAATACAAAGTAAATAGGAAAGCAGTGGGGAGGAAAAGAGGAAGGAGACGTGAGGAAAGGTAAGAAAAAAGAAAAAGAAACATTGACTTCCAACTATGTTACAGTAAAATAAGGAATTAACATCAAATCACAACTTTTTGCTTTTTTATAATAACATGAATGATATAGAGATATATCAGTCTAATCAGTAAAACCCAAAGTCAGTTTCATTCTTCTCCACATCAAGCACGAAGTTCAGAAGCAGACTCCATGTGGAAACAAAAGTACTTATAATGTCCAGTCGTGTGATTCCTGAATATCTTTTTCTCTATTCTGTTTTATAGGGGAAAATGTGTGCTTTGTTAATTTTAGAATTTGCAGAAATACTCCATAGATTTTATCATTATACCAAAGTAACCAAACCAGAACAATTGATTATTAATAAAGTACTACTTGTTCTTGAAAATGCCACCTGACACTAACTTCTGTTATTTCCTCATATAGTTACAATAATTACTTGGGAAAAGTTCTGAGAGGAACAACTGATGAATTTAGCTGAATCAATTCAATTATTTCAGAAGTATTTTGCTCATTAGTAAGGCCATAATGATACATTAAATAATGTTCTATATTGTGTAATGTAGTTTTTGGATAACTATGTCATGGTCAATGTCTGGTTTCATCCAGTTGTTTGTATTTCTTTTTTTCTTTTACTCAGTTGGAAGAAGGATTCCCTTCCTTAAAATTTTCCTTTTGTTTTCTGCTGTTTTTCTTTTTGCTGCATATGCTTCATTTTGCATATTTTCATTTGCAGAACTTTTGTTTATTTTCTAATTTTAGATTTTTTAAATATTATTTAGTCAGCCTTTTATTCTTTACTTATGACCCCTTCTGTTTCTGAATTAAGCTGATTTCCTCATAGATTTCATGGATCAGAAATTGTTCTGTATCTCTTTGTTATTGATTAATCTTCATTTTATCAGTTATATTTTGCTTATTTAAATTATTCTTAATTTCTGAACATAAAACCAGTTAAATTTGCTTTTTGAAACTTTGCTTTGGAAATACCATAATTGGAAAAACCGCAACTGACACAATCACATATGCTTTCATTTTTCTATTGTTAAACTTTCAGAGTTTAATAATCTGCCTTCAGATGACTTTTTATGTGAAAATAAATTAAGTGAAAGATGCTTTCAAATAAATATAGAATTACAGCCTCATCTAATCTGCTTTTGAATATAAGAATGAAGAGATAAAGCACTTTTTGATTGAATATTTATTTTGTTTTATTTTGTAATTCTACAAAATCATTTAAAACAGATTACAAAAAGAATTTATATCTGAGCAAGCAATAAATAATTCTCATCAATGAGCAAAAAGGCTCTGTCTTGTATAAGGTTTTGCTAGCCTGCTTTTTTAACACCCTAATAAAAGTATTAATCTCTTCTTTATCAGCCCCTATTAGAAAGTAAAAGCATGTCAAAAATTCAGCAAATTTATAGAGTGTGCAATATTTCATCTACAGGACTATTTGTTTCACTAGTTCATGTAGAAGAATCTTTAGCACAACTAGCAGGGATGCACAGCAGGCCAACAACAGATTCCTTTCCACTTCTGGCAGCTGACTTTTTGTGCTGATTATATGAGAAAACTTTTCATTTTCAGTGTGTCCAATCTATATAGAATTATAGTAGACTAGCATCAATGGGTGGATGCTCTATGGCTTTGTTGTCAACTAGAATGGTGGATGTCAGTTTGTTTTGTCTCCAATCTATGTTTCCCTGTTAAATATGCAAAATTTAACTGTGTGCAATCCAGTTCAGGAACCAATTGGAAATGCTGGAGGAAGGAGAGAATGATTTCCATTCTTCCTCCACCATTTCACTGCACTATGTACTTATTGGGAAGGTAGAAGGGCACCTTTGCCATAATATATATAAGGCTAAGTAGGTCTTTAGAAGTGGTGTGACCATAGTTCATTTATTTGCTCCTGACCTATACAGAACTCCTTGTAGTTCCATATGCACCATGATTACAAGAAGAATGCTTAAATATAATTGCAGCAAATAATTAATAATCCAGAAAATAGCATAAATAAAAACTCCAGCTCTCTAAGTAGCAAAAATAAAATATCTCAACGTAGACATTTTTGGAGAAATATTGGAAGTTACTCTGAATCACCTCGCAGTGAGATGGACAACAAACAAATTAAATAAATAAACAGAACACATGTTATTAGCTTCTGAAAGTCATATGGGAACGGATACCAGGCATTTGAACACATTGAGCCTGTTTCACAAATGGAATGCTGCTACAGAAAAGACCTTTTAACCAATCATGTCCAAATCCTAGTTGGAAGAAGATTGCAGCATACAGATAGTCCTCGATTTATAACAGTTCATTTAGAGACCATTTGAAGTTACAATGGCACTGATAAAAGTGACTAAAAGTGGCCTTTTTCGCGTGACCATTGCAGCATCTTCTTGGCAATTGCTTCATATTTATGAAGGTTGCAGTATGCCAGGGTCATACGACCCCTGACAAAGTCAATGAGGAAGCCAGATTCACTTAACTTGACAACTGCAGTGATTCACTTAACAATTGTGGCAAGAAAGGTTGTACAATCAGGCAAAACTCAATGTCTCACTTAACAACAGAAATTGTCTCATTTGTGGTCGTAAGTCGAAGACTACCTGTATTGCAGAAGATTGTCTCCTGTGTCTTTAGACTACTGTAATTTGTTAACTGATAATATTTTAAACTGTAACAAGTGTTCTGGTGTTTTTCTAAGAGTTTTTGGAACACCTCTACTGAACTAGTAATTAACTTAATCAGCTTTTATGAGTACCGGGTTAAATACATTTCTAAAATGTGTGCTCTTCAGTCAGAAATACAATTTTAATAAAAAGGATTTAAATCAATTTGACTGAATTTAATAGAAATGCTATTGCTACACAATGGTATATATGACTTCCTATTTAAACAATTGTAATGTCATCTGTGTAACAACTTGCAACTATTGTTTTAACCCAGTAATAGAATAATGTCATCCCAAAAGGGGAAGCAAGCTAAGGATCATAATGAAATTCTTTTTTTATTTGAGACCAACACAATTAGGTGTGATAGAATTAAACAAATGATTATTGGTTACTGGCCCTAAATAATTTATAATAAATCATTTTTACAGAAATTTTAGATTTTATAACAAGTAGACACATTTTCTAGTACAATCAAAAACTACATTAGTTGATAAAAATGCTTAAAGAGATATTATTTTTCAGTTGTGTAAAGATGTATCTGGTTTTGTCCAATGAGCCACTGCTGAATTAGACCCTAAAGAGAGAGCTGAAAATAACATTATGAACTTGTATCAAATGCATCTTCCGCTAAGCTGTTGGAATTACTCTGGATATTTTATTATAATGATAAAGAACATTAGAAGAAGTTTTAGATGGCTGAAGCTTGGTAAATTTTAAATGAAATAAGTTTTATGTTGCTTTAATTTCCTTATGTTTTATATTTCCAAAGTACTTTGTTGTTCTGTTCAAGTGATCCCACTTTTATTTGGTATTTTTTTATATTTAATCTTTGGCACATTGGGAAGATTTTTAAGTACTTTGTTGTTCTGCTCAAGTGATCCCACTTTTATTTGGTATCTTTTTATATTTAATCTTTGGCACGTTGGGAAGATTTTTTTAAGGATACATTTCAGTTTTGTTCATTATTTTATTCTGTAATATACTAAACTCTCCCTTTATTGTGGAGTTTCAGATTAAATCAGATTCCTTTACTACCATCATGATTTGTTTGATAGGAGTCAGAAGTGAACATTAGAGCAAACATGTTTTTCCTTGATGTCAGTTTGAGGTAATTATGATGAGAAAGTCAGTATTCTGCAAGTCAGCCTCTGTCAGTACTCTCCAAGTGAGGTGACTCCATCTCTGCCTTACAGTACTACATTCAGTGAAGAAAAACTACTTTCCAGAAACTGGAGACTCAGCAGTCCTCATAGAAAGCATCTGTAGGTATAACTTGTGCTCCAGATGGCCCATCTACGCGCTGGAATATTACGAACTATTTGAAAGTATAAATATTTGAGGCAATGCATATCTTGATCCAAGCTACTATTTATATATATACATTTTATGAATGTTATTATTCATGTAAAATAGCAAAGCCCTGAATTTACACTCTTAGGACTCTCTTACTTATTTTGTAGTGAATAGTCCAGAAGAGCTGTTATTTCTGTTTATCTTATGTAAATTAATATTTCTTCACACATTAGTATCCTCAAAGTAGAAAGTTAGAGATAACTTTCATAGGAAATTTTCTGTAAATGCTCAGTAATGGACATTTCAAAAGATTCATGGTTCTGAATCTGATTGTTCTCTGCTTTTTTTTAGGTTCTTTTTAAAATGTCTTTTCCACCTCACTTAAACCGTCCTCCGATGGGAATCCCAACCCTTCCACCTGGAATTCCACCTCCACAGTTCCCAGGTTTTCCTCCACCTGTACCTCCTGGTAAGTTACATCAGAAACTCATCAAATTAGCCTCATTTTCCCATCACTGATTAATAAATCTTTAAAATCGCAATTAACTAAATATACCTGGGTACGTTAATTAGGAAAATAATCTTTATAAATATAGTTTTGTTGCATTTCTGTTTAATAGGTATTTTAAAATTGTGGTTGATTCTTGATAAACTGTTAATACAATCTCACTTCACAGGGACTCCAATGATTCCTGTACCAATGGGTATTATGGCTCCTGCACCAACAGTAAGCATAATATAAAATACTACTTGTGTAAACTTTATGGAAATAATTGCAAGATTTGATTACTTTTATGTCATCTTTCAAAATATCATTAGTATCTAACTAATAATAGCAATTAATAGTAATCAATTACAAAAATATTGAACATGGCTAGCCAGCTGTGCAAAGCTAGATCACCCGCTGTAGTGTACCGTAGATAGTACGCATAAGTGAACAAAATGAACTAACAATCTTAGGCTGCCAGAACTACTCTGTGGTAAAAAGCATTGTAGACTTCCTTGACTGTGTACGGCCATACACCAAAAAAAAGATCATCATAGATTGATCAGTATAATAATAGTCGCCTATATTTTACAAACTTAGGGTCATATTCAAGAACACAGGACTCTCCTTTCTTTGAAAAACTGCTTCTACTCTTGGTCATGTTTTAAATTAGGTTAAAGCTAATTAAATCTAATAATACTTTGATTATTGTTTGCAAAATATCTTGAAATCATTGATAAATTTGAACAGTCATTACCATTACCCCAATAATCATGGTTGAAGCCAAGAAAGAACGGGTTTTACAATAAAGAGGAAGAAATTGAGTTTCTTAATTGGCATGCTCCAAAAATAAAAGAAAAATCACTTGTAAAGAATGAAAATTTTATTTGCGTTGATCTCCATTTCCAAAAGATCGTTCAGTTGTTTAAACACAGGGATGGGCAATTTTATGGCTGTTGGAATACTCCCCAATCCTGTGGCCAAATTTGGTGGCAAAACTTTGTATCAAAAAGTGCATAATAGATGCACTAACTTTAAAATACACTACTTGCTACTCTAAACATTTCAAACCTTCAAAATGGAGGGGAAAAGCAAATCCTGAACTTATTACATGATTGGGTGCAATCCAGGGAGCCAAAATAATAGCTTTTAACAAAGTCGCTGCCAAATTTCAAAAAATGACCATCTCTTTTAATTAATACTTCCAAATTTTATTCCTCTCAGGTGGCATTTTAAATATGAAGCAATGTATGTAGATTATTAAACATTTATAAATTTAAATAGAAATATTTTGAATTTCTATATAATTTCCCATTTGGATTATTTTTGCATGCAGATTGATTCTTCCAGAATCAACCTGCATGCAAAATGTATGAAAAAAAATGTATGAAATCTCTGTTGTAGAGAAAACTATTCAGGCAAAATTAATTAATATTGATCTTCAAAGTAAATATGATTCAGGATTTATATAGCATTTGTTTTCAGTAGTGTATTGTTTAAGTTATTTGATCATTTTATTATGTTAAATAATGTGGTTCTTCTACAATTCTGGACTTTTTCTTCTAATGAAGATAGGATAAGGGTTTTTCCTCTCTGAAATTTAACAGTAGGAATCTCTTTATTTTCAGGTATTGGTTCCAGCTGCAGTGTCGATGGTTGGGAAACACATGGGTGTTAGAAAGGAACATCCAGGTCTAAAGAACAAAGAAAATGATGAAAACAGTGGTCCCACCACCACTGTCTTTGTAGGCAACATATCTGAAAAGGCATCAGATATGCTTATACGACAACTTCTTGCTGTAAGTAACATAACAGTATTAGAACTTTATTAAAATTTATTTATTTATTTATTTATTTATTTTATTAAATATATTTATATGCTGCCCAATCCCGAAGGCTTACAAAAAATAAGAGGAAAAAAAACATAACGAGAAAAGAAACAGTTTAAAAACAGCAACACCCTCATACATTCATTCTAATCAGGGCTGGACCTCAACAGTGAGGTCAACAGCCCCAGGCCTGCCGGAACAGCCAAGTTTTTACAGCTTTCCTGAAGGCCATGAGAGTGGGTATGGTCCGGATCTCCGGGGGTAGCTGGTTCCAGAGAGTCGGAGCAGCCACAGAGAAGGCTCTCCTCCAGTGAGCCCGCCAGCCGACACTGTCTGGCTGACGGCATCTGAAGGAGGCCCAATCTGTGGGATCTTACTGGCCGCTAGCCGACTAACAAAAGCCCATTCCAAAGAAGACTTTTGAAATATAAATCAATAACATGAGCCATAGGGGAAACAATTTAACAAGGAGAGGCGAGTCTGTTGAATCTTACAAGTCCCGAGATAGCCTGCTCAATTTAGATTGCAGTCTCACAATGGAAACCGTGTGTTGTCCTGCTCATTAGCAGTTAGCAATAGCAGTTAGACTTATATACCGCTTCATAGGGCTTTCAGCCCTCTCTAAGCGGTTTACAGTGTCAGC